GGCTTGAGTCGGTGCAGCAGGTCATTACAATAGTTGCGATATCGTTTGTAGGTCAGATTAAGCACGACGTCATTAGGGTTCGCACGGACCTGACTATGCAAATGGTCTCTGTGTCGCATACATTTTATTAGCCCGGGAGTAATCCAGGGTTTGATGTTGTATTTAGTGCGACTCAATTTTACTTTACTAGTATGTTTGCCTATAACTGATTGTATAATCTGGTCAAAATTAGAAGTGGCCTCGTTGACGTCTTCACTGCCAGTTATTGTCGACCAGTTCATACCGCAAAGGTCCAAATTAATTGCGCCGATATCAACAATATTTATGTACCTGTTTTTCGATTTAGGTTTATTTTCAGCAAAGCTCACACCTACCATAGGCATATAGTGATCAGTCAAGGAGCATTTGCATACAGCTGCTGAGATAACTTGTTTGCACTTAATGAAATTGTGGTCCAAGCATGTATCTCCCCTAGTAGGCTCTGAAATGGCTGACAACAACCCGTGGGAAGCCATTAGGCATAAGTAATCAGATACCTGCAAATCAGTGTCGTTAGCTAACAGATTTATATTTAAGTCACCCGCCACCATTACACAAGACCTATCCTGTAAGCTGTGAAGTGTACTGTCCAAAGATTGTAGAAAGCCGTTTAAGTTGTGAAATGAGGGAGAGCGATATATGCATAGTATAGACAATGAGTTATCCAAGTCAACCCTAAGGCAGTTTGCCTCATCAAAGGTGGGCTCCTGCACAGAGGGCATCCACTTGTCCAACCTAATGTAAACAACCACTCCCCCACTTTTATTGATATACTTTTTAGTATTAAAGGACCTATAACCGGCTATTTGCCCAATTACTGAGCTATCATGTAGCCAGCATTCAGTCAGAACGATGATGACGTTATAAATTATAGTCTTTGAATATTTAAATATATAAGATACATTCAGCCTTATTTTAATATAAATGGTTTGTTTATACTTAAGTTTAAGTTACCCGGATTAAATAACATTAATATTTTCTGCTTATCGGTCTCATCTGAGATTTCAACGAATTAATTAATTATCTAATATAAAAATCAGACCACAAACTGTTTAACAGATTTTACGTACGTTACGTTACGTTACGTATTTTACGAACGTAGCTAGCTCAAAGAAAATAACAGAACAACCTAGCAACAATGCAAAGAGAAAACTATGTATTTTAAGCAATAGACATTATTCAGGCCCATTACGGTTCGTTGAAAATACGTTTTCAAGCGATTTTAATTTTTGTCGATACCTATTACCTAACACAAACATTAAGCTTCTCTTGACTAACTTAAAGAACAAATTGTTAAATTTTAATATGAATGACTACTGTATATATTTGTATTAGGTGATACTGATATAAGAGACACAAACTGTATTGAACTCATAAACACAATTGGGAATTTAATTAAGCAAATCGACTTTACCAACTTGATAATCTGTACCCCTACGTATGAACTTGGGGCACCAATACAAAATTATAAAATTGAATTATTCAATAGCTTACTCTATATAGAACTACAAAAATACCATAATATATATTTTTTTGACTCTAATGTAAACCTAACTTATGAAATGTTCTCAAGTAGAACAGGCAGGGTAAATAACTTTGGATTACGGAATATTTTCCAAACTATAATGAAACAGATATACTTTGATTTTGAATCATTTCCTTTGACTACCTCACAAGTTGACTGCGATATGGCCGTTGAGAGTAATTCTAAATCTGACTACAACACATCTCATAATTTATTTCGTGACTAATTCCTTATATATCCTCCATCAAAATATAGATGGCCTTATCTCCAAATCAGATTCATTAATGGTTAATTTAGAAATACTTAATGATGAACGTACTCCAATAGATATTATAGGCATAACCGAACACAACATGATAGCTAGTGACTTACATCGCCTTAATATAAGAAACTATAAACTTGCGTCTTTCTACTGCAAACAACAACGTAATGGCGGATCTTGTATTCTGATTAAAAACCACCATGAATACGAAAACGTAAGAAGTTTAATCAACCAATCGATATCTGGTGTTATTGAATGTTCGGCAATAAAATTAGTACAACATAAGGTCTACATAGTCTGTATTTACAGACCTCCTCGGTCAAAATTAGAACTAGTGGCTCTATTTTTTAGTAAACTGGATAATATATTAAGCTCCGTTACTAATAACAGCAACTATAAATTTATTATATGCGGTGACTTCAATATTGATGTGCTCAAAAATGATAAAATATCCAGAGATTTTAAACAGCTATTATCTAAATATAATACAAAATGCCAATTTCATGAACCCACTAGACCTCGCAGTAAAACATGTTTAGATAATATGTTACATAATATTCGTAGTGCAAAAGGAGAAGTCATAGAATTGACAATTTCCGATCACTCTGCTCAAACCCTTAAGATACCTATCAAAAAAACATGTCGGCTAAAATACTGGTATACTTACCACCGAGATTTTTCTCTCGATAATATAAGGAAGTTTATGAACTGCATCAAAAGTCTAAGTTTCAGTGAAGCATATGAGACAAGTTGTCCAAATAAAGCTTTCAACTCATTTCATGACCTTTTCACACTTTTTTACAACTTATGTTTTCCAGAAATCAAAATAAAAATCTCTACTATGAACAAACCGAAATGGATTTCAAAGGGCATTAAATTATGTAGTAAAAAACGTTGTAAGCTCCTGTGGAAATATCGACTATCTCCGTCACCAACAAATAAATTAATATTTACTAACTATAGTAGAAGGTACAAGAGAATAATTAATCTTACTCAAAAGGCACAGAATGACTATTATATAGCTCAGTCAAAAAATAAATCCCAAGCAACGTGGAAGATAATTAATAAGTATAATAGCAGCCTTCCTAAGGAACAGATTAACAGTATATTAAGTAACGATAAAGAGGTAACTGAACCGACAGAAATTGCGAACGCCTTTAACGACTTTTTTACAAACTCATTGGAAACAGTCGATAAGGACAAGCCCGAACCTACTTCTATTCCACATAGTCAACGTAACTCAATTTTTTTGACCCCAATAATACCCTTAGATGTTGTTAAATCTATTAATTTATTAAAAAATACTAATAGTGTAGGTTTTGACAATGTTTCCACTAAGATTATTAAAACAGTAGGGAATATAATAGCTCACATCTTGTGCTACATTATAAATTTATGTTTAGAACAGGGAATATTTCCAGATATATTGAAATTGGCAATTACTATTCCAATATTCAAAAAGGATGACAACAAGCTGTTAAAAAACTATTGTCCTATTTCACTAATTTCAATATTTTCAAAGTTAATAGAACACATTATATATAAAAAAATAAACGATTACTTTGAAACCAATAATCTATTTTCGAAGCATCAATACGGCTTTCGAAAAGATAAATCCATTAGTATGGCTATATACGAGTTTTTGGAAAGAGTCGTAAAAAACGTTAACAACCGAAAGCCTACACTAGCACTATTTATGGATATGACCAAAGCATTTGACAACATTATTCATAAAACATTACTTAACAAACTAGAAAGGTATGGTATAAGAGGCAACGCCCTTAAGCTAATCGAATGTTACTTAAGTAATAGAAGACAAATTACACATATAACCAAAATTGACTCTAAGACCGGTGAAAATAAAATATACAGATCGAAAGAGCGTCAAGTAAACTATGGAGTACCACAGGGAAGTGTACTGGGCCCTCTCCTTTTTATTATCTATATAAATGATTTTCCTAATGTAATCAACCATCATATGACTATTTTTGCTGACGATAGTACTGTTTTATTTACTTATGATAATGAGAATAATATAAATATTGACATTAATAATACATTGACATCTTTATTCAAATGGCTGATATTAAATAACCTAACAATTAATTTGACAAAAACACATGTAATAAACTTTAAACAAAGAAATAATTATCCTTTAAATTTTGACATTAACTACTCTGGGAATTCAATTAAAGAGGTAGACACTACAAAATTTTTTGGGTTTGACTATAGATAATAAGCTGACATGGAAACCTCATATTAATAATCTAATTAAAAAACTAAACCAATTCTCTTATGCCCTTTATAAACTAAGGAAGGTTTCCAGTGTTAAAACTCTTCTAACAGCCTATCACGGATATGTTGCATCAAACTTAAGGTATGGAATAATATTTTGGGCCAACACAACTGAAAAACAAAGTGTCCTCAAAGCGCAAAAAAAGTGTGTTAGATCGATGTTCGGTCTAAATCAGGATGATTCATGTGAACCGTACTTTCGCAAATATAAAATTCTGACTCTACCGTGTATGTATATATATGAGGTTGCAAACTTTGTTCGAAATAACCCAATTTATTTTGAAATGAATACTGCCGGAAGTCGTCGTGAAGGAACATTGAAAGTTAATCACAAATGCAAACCACTTCTTCGAAGAATGTGTGTAAATTGCATGGCACCAAAAATCTATAATAAAATCCCGTTAAATATACGATTAATTAATGATATCAAAAAGATTTAAAACTGCGCTCAATGGCTTCCTTGTTGAAAAAGTGTACTATGACATAAGAATATTTTTTGATGACAAAATGTAAAAATATACTTCAATTTTGTTCATATACCTCTAAGGTGAAACATGGCTGTATCTTATAATAATTTTATATGTGACATCCTGTAATACCCATGCTTATGAATTAATAAATGTTTGATTTGATTTGATTTGATTTGATTTAATTTTAAAATGTTCAATAACTAAAAGCATCGTTGAAAGCGTATCTAAATAAAATTTATAAATAAAAAAAAACGATAAACTTCTTTTACAAAAAAAAAAAAAACAATCTAATCATACAACTATGAGTCTCATGGCTGTATAATCAATCGATTGACACACTACAATTTTTTTTTGTTAATATGTATAGATTATGAGATTCGGTCAATCGCATATTTTATGTACTCTGCAGGGTGATTTAAAGAAGCACATTATCACGCACTACCCCGAGCGTCAACACCCGTGTCCCACGTGTGGGCGACTGTTCGCGCGCTTATCGCGAATGAAGCGCCATCTCACTCAACACGAGCCGAAGGTGAAATCCGTGGAGTGCGCTCTATGTGGCGTCTGGTATGTATTACAGCACTCAGTGTTTTTGATTTGTTTTTCCACAAGAGAGACAAACGAGCACACACACACATACACAGAGAGAGAGAGAGAGAGAGAGAGAGAGAGAGAGCTGCCAACCATACTGTTAAAAGCTGTATTATACTCTATGTTGCTCTTTAATATTGTTAATTTACAAAATAATATAATAACTGCAAAACGTATTAATAGAATCAGGCGTCACTTTGCGGAAATCCATCATAAATAAGAAATTAATTCATTTGCAACCTTCCGCTAACTAAATACAATGATGTGTCTTACCTGGATTGAAGAGCACCTCCCGCCCTCCCTCAATTGCATGCACCAATCCCGTCACCACTAATCCCAGCACCACTACTCCCAATACCACTACTCCCGGCACCACCACTCAAACACCACTGCTCCAGGAAGCCGCCAGCCGTCTAGCCTAGCGGTCAGCCGCCGTAGAGTCTACACCACCTGAGAATGCCTCGTGTAGAGGCAAAACACGTGTCGTATTATGGTGGTCGATTGTGTGTCTTTCCTGGAGTAGTGGTGTTGGGAGTAGTGGTGTTGGGAGTAGTGGTGTAGGGAGTAGTGGTGTTGGGAGTAGTGGTATTGGGAGTAGTGGTGCTAGGATTAGTGGTGACGGGATTGGTGCATGCAATTGAGGGAGGGCGGGAGGTGCTCTTCAAACTAGGGAAGACACATCATTGTATTTAGTTAGCGGAAGGTTGCAAATAAATTAATTTCTTTGTTACAAAACTTATGTTTTTAAAACTTAAAAAAATCTCTCCACTTGCCTAAAACATTGTTTATTTTAGTTATCCGACCTTATTATACTGTTACGTGCTTAGGGTTCGTGACAATAAAAACTGCCGGTTGAATTACCAATTGACACTAATTACCGAACACCAATTAAAACTTGAAACACACCGAATCAATACTGAAACGGTCGCGGTTGGTCTTTTCCACTGAAACATCTAGAATGTTCGAGCATATACCAGTCCCAACCGACTAAGTGTAGAAAGTTCTCTCCTAGTTCTGCCACTCGATACTAAATGGCGCTAGTGGAAAAATTCTAGCACGGAATTTTCTAGAAAGCTCTCCTAGTTCTGATACTCGATACTAGATGGCGCTAGTGGCATTATTTAGGGCTTGCAACAATACTTTACTTTTTATACACAAAGTTAGAATGCCTACATAAGGTTCACTCTACGGTCAAAGAAAGTTGAGGCCCATAAATTACTGTTAGGGATTTTGCCATTATAAGCCATTTGTTCAGCCTACCTACAAAAACATAAAAGTAGTATACGCGGGGAGTTTAATTTGTTGAAGTTATTCTTTAATGTTTTTTTTGAAGAAAAACTTTTTTGGAAACGTTATAAATTGTAATTTGACGAAACGAAAAAGCGACACTTAAAACAGACAAACACATACATTTATAGAATTTAGCCTGCGAGAAAATGAGAGAGAATACAGTATACAGTGTTTCCTATTATTTCTGTGCCTCTTTGTGCGGTGCTTTAAAAATAGTTCATATAACTTTTTTTAATAAATAAAATTTACCATATTATATAAAATTATCATATCCAACCCATTCATAACAATCCACTATTTCATAACTTACCGATTTAATTAGTCGTATTTAGGCCATCTAGCGTATATTTTACGTACCACCTTGAGAGTTATTACATTTATTATAGAATAAAGACTTTATCTATAGAATAAAGTAGATAGCGCAAAGCAATTTTACTGTGAACTACAACCATATTTTTTTTTACAATACTAACACTAGTTTTTAAGAATATATTATTGTTGTATTAACATCTGTATGGACTCCGCCTAAATAAAGATATTATTATAATTATTATATACACCTTCGATTAAGAACCAAAATGCAGATGTGTTGTCACCCCTGAGGACAAAGATAATATACCTCGAATACCTCGTTATCAGTAATAATTATAATTCAAAATGGCAACCATTTTGAATTTTGTCCTGAGCTGTAGTTAAGGTTCAAGTCTTGTTACTCTGCTTTTTGTGCAGACGATGAAATTTACCATCTGCTTGATAATATACATATTGCGTAAGTTCTCAGGGAGAAAGTTTAAAGGGAACAATTGTAATTAATTACCTTTGCATATATTTTATGTAACAAATAAGATTTGACAGCATACAGGCAACTGAACAGAGAGATCTGCAAAAACATGCGGCGGGACTTACGCAACTTCAATACAGCTCGTATTGAAGAAGCGATTGAGCGGAACCAGGGCTACAAATCATCTTTGCCAGAGATCTGTCTGCTAGAATGAGCTAACTGTCGAATCTGAAGAGCGAATGTGGCAGCATCGTTTCCGGGGCACTTGAGATTTTGAATGAGATTAAGAGGTTCTATGGGCAGAGCCGTGGTAGCTCAGATGGTTAGCGCTCGCTGTAAATTTCACATTACGCGAGCAAACCGGGTTCGATCCCCGCCGGCACCAATGAAATTGTTAATTGCAATTTTAAGTGCTGATTTACCACGTGCTTGGCGGTGAAGGAAAACATCGTGAGGAAACCTGTGGAGCAGAAGAAGGATCATCGTGAGGAGGCATATGAAGTTCGCCAACACGTATTGGGGCAACGCGGCGAGACACTTCCTTGCCCTAAAATCCTCTCAGAAATGAGCGGAGGTCTGTGCCCAGCAGTGGGGCGTATATAGGCTATAACTTTACTTTTATTTTTATGGGCAGCTGTAAACATCATCGTTGAAGCCACACGCAAGTGTGAGTAACTTATCCAACACTATTATACATCAGCCTGAGCGAGATTAGAGTGGCTCCCCAGCACCTTAAAAATGACAAGTCCCCGGGCGAGGATGGAATTACAGCGGAGCTTCTGAAAGCGGGTGGAAAATCGATACTCAAAGTCCTTCAGAAGCTCTTCAATTCTGTCATGGTGATACTAATACGCAAGCGTGGAGCAGAAATGCGGTGGTCTTGTTCTTCAAAAAAGGCGACAACGCTCTTTTGAAAAACTAAATACAGTTTTCCCTTCTGAGCCGCGTCTACGTGCTGTTTTCGAGAGTCATTACGAATCGTCTCGCACGCAGAATTGACGGCTTCCAGCCTTCCGAACAAGCGGGTTTCTGACAAGGCTTTAGTACCATAGACCACATACATACCCTTTTGCAATTTGAACAGAATTCCGAAGAGTACAATCTGCCACTTTGCCTGGCGTATGGGGACTATGAGGAAGCTTTCGATTCCGAAATTTGGGTGGTGCTGGAATCCCTTCAGCGGTACCAAGTTGACTGTCGGTACATTAAAGTGCTGAAGTATTACAGTGGATCGTCAGTACAGCCAGAGTACGATACCTATCGAACTGCAGAGGGGTTTAAGACAGTGTGACGTAATATTCACGAAACTCGCTGCATTGGAAGACGTTTTCAAGCTACTGGACTGGAAAGGATACGGTATTAACCTTCGATTTGCCGATAATGTAATACAGTCCTTACTGCAGAATCGCTGGAGGACCTTAGCACTATGCTCAATGACCTCAATAGTGTCTCCCAACAGATAGGTCTGAAGTTCATGTGTAATGTCCATGTCACACCTATACCGGTGGTTGTTGGGAGCACTTAGGTCGAAGATGTTGCCTAGTACGTGTTCAACAAGTGCGTGTTGCCAGTGATGACGACGTGGTCCTTCACTGCTGGCCGTATTAGGAAGCTCAAAGTCGCTCAGCAAGCTATCGAGAGGTCTCTCTATGCTCGGGGTTTCTCTGCATGCTAAACATAGAAATGAAAATATCCTCTGTAGAACCAGAGTAACCGACATAGCCCAACGGATTGATAAGCTGAAGTGGCAATGGGCCGGCCATATAGCTCGAGGAACCGATAACCGATGGGGAAGAAAGGTTCTCGAGTGGTAGCCGCGGAGGCGAAGTGTAGGGCGATTGCCCACTAGATGGAGTGACGACCTGGTAAAACATGCAGGAAGTCGACGGATGCAGGTGGCTCAGGACCGTGCTTTGTGGCGTACCTTGGGGGAGGCCTATGTTCAACAGTGGACGCCTGAAGGGCTGTGTAGTGATAATAATGATGATGATGATATTTTTTGTACAATTTTCTATTTTTTTTACTGTTTTGTCTCCGAAAAGTAAATAAACAAGTAAATAAATATGGACATCGTCCGTGGATTGACTGTCACAGTGAACTCTTACTCAGTGTATGTGCTCTTCTTCAGCTTCTACAACGACAACTATCTGGCGGTGCATATGCGTAAAAAACACACACGCGACATTCGCTACGAGTGCGACGACTGCGGCTTCAAAACTCGCAACAAGCCGAGCATCGTCATGCACATCAAGTACGGACACGCGTCGGAGACCGTGAGTATGATGAGTTGATCAAAAATATTGTGGGTAGATGAATATTACATTTGAAAGTATTTAGGGCAATGATACTCTTATAAACAAAGTTATGGTATTTTCGAAGTGATAACATTGTGATTTGAAATTCGATGAAACGAAAAAGCGACGCTAACAGCTAACAGCTCCTTACTCTATATAAAGAGCAAGTCCGGTCGTGCACGGAATACTGCTGTCACATATGGGCTGGTGCTGCAAACTGCCACATGGCAGCATTGGATTCAGTGCAGAGACGTGCTAACACAGATGCAGAGTAGCCAGCCTCTCGGTATTCTATAGGATGCATTTCGGAGAGTGTGCACAGGAATTGCAAGCTTTAATTTCTCCCTCTCCTTTCTACCATCGGACGGCCAGGCGGTCGGCGGATCTTCACCTCTTTGTTGTCGATATTCCACGCATTAGAACCAAACGGTTTACTTCGACATTTTTAAAGCGTACAGCAAGTGGAATAATTAGCTGGCGTATATATTTCCGTCCGAATACAATCTGAGCGTTTTCAGGGCAAGAGTGAATAGGGTTTTGTTACGCTAAGACAGTGCGATTTACTATCTAAGGCTGCATCATCACTTGCCACCAGATGGGATTGTGATCAAGTACTGGCTTATAAAAAGTAGAAATCTATAGGATTTATTTTTATAAACAAATTTTTTGCTATTTTCGAAGTGAAAACTGCTTTAGAATCGTTGTGATTTGAAACTCGAAGAAATGAAAAAGCGACACTAAAAAGAGACAAACATATTGTTGCGCGCCTAAATTGATGTCTGGTACCAGGCACTAGCGCCATCTAGTGTCGGGGAACAGAGCGAGGAGAGCTTTCTAGAAAATGCCATGACTGAACTTTCAACCAACAGCGCCATCTAGTATCGAATAGAAGAACTAAGCTTTCTGGAAAGCTCCACACTCGAACTTTCTGCACCTGGTCGATCGGGGGCTGGTATTTGCTGGAATATTCTGGATGTATCGGTGAAAAAGGCGTATATAAAGGCGTTGAAGCCCGCCACCGGGACAGTGTTGAATTGGCGATACAAGCGAAGCTTCGAGCGAAATAAAGTGAACTAAAGTGATCAGTGCGATTAATTATTATTGTGATTTAAGTTTTAACTGGTGTTCAGTAGGTAAAGTGTCAATTTTGGTAATTCAATCGGCAGTTTTTATTGTCACGAACCCTAAGCTCGTAACAATATATATATCTATAGGATTCAGCCTGCGAGAGAATGAGATAGAATACAGTATATAGTGTTTGCTGTTATATGGAGATTATGCATTTGATCTATGAGCAGTAAGGATTAAGGACGAAATTTGTTGATTAGAAAATATTTAAATTCTTAAGATGATGAAATTGAAAACTTAGAGTCTGTATAATACATAATACATACATAAACACTCACGCCTGTCACCCAGAGTGGTAGGCAGAGACTACAGACTTCCATTTGTAACGATCCTGACACACCTCTCTCGCCTCCTCCACATCCATATACCTACGCATACATGCTCGTAGGTTAAGGGTACCCTTAATTTTGTCCATTTTCAATATATCGTCAATTTGGTCGACAATCTTTCGCCTAGGACGTCCCTTTCTGACTGCCATTCACTTCTGCAACATAAATTTGCTTTGTCACTCTTTCCTCATTCATTCTTTCCACATGACCAAATCACCGAAGTGTCCGTAGGCTTCGACCACCTAATCCTAGGCCCACCCTACACGTGCCCCCGGTTGTTGCTAAACGAGCGACATATCGAAAGTACAGACTGCTCCTCGCCGTGTAGTAGTGCCGTAAAACCACCCCACTGTTTTGAGTATACTGACTGTATAATAATTACATAATTAATAACAATTTTGAATTGTCATTCCAATATTCCACTTCTGAGTTCGAGTTTGAGAGGTAAGGGAGGTGTAATTACAGGCTGTGTGTTATTTCATCTTTATCCTTAAGGGATAACGTGTTTTGGCTTTTTTGTTTGTAGTTGGTGTAGGATGTACGTACGTATACTATATTGTACACCGAAGAAGGTATGGCTACAGAGAAAAAAATCTTAACAGGAAAACAGGCTACAGAGGAAAAATTCTTTGGAGGTCATTTTACCTATCACCTAAAGCGATAAGACGGTCTTATCGTTTATCAATAAAGAGCGTGAAAAGAGTGACAAAGCAAATTTATGTGCAGATGTGAACGGTAGAGTCGGGAAGGGACGCCCTAGACGAAAGCTCTTAACGACGAGCGTGTATGTAAAGGAGGCGAAAAAGGTGTGGCAGGATCGTGCCAAATGCAAGTCTGTAGTCACTGCCTACCCCTCTGGGTGACAGGCGTGAGTGTTTATGTTATGTTAAAAATTGAACTATTCGACAGTGAAAAATGGTGTGTATTATAATAAACTTACATCAAAAATGTGATCGGACTGCCGAAACCACTTACAATCGGTTGCATTATTAGTTAGTTAGTTAGTTGTTTAAAATTGTAAAGTCAGTGTGGCTTTCATTTGAAAACTAAAAAAAAAAAACTTAATTATTACATCCAGGGCTATTTTGCCATCTACGTCGAAATTTGCAGAGAAGCTCCCAAATATGTAATATAAGCGAATGCTTAAAAAATCTCAGACATTCTGTCCTTTTCATCTTTTAAATCCAGAATGCATAGTAATGCATTATTTTCACTGATTGTCATTCTTAAATATCTAATGCTTAATATTTTACTACGCACGCACACATTCATAAGGTTCGCTCGGTCAGTAAAAACATGAATCGCATCGCACACAGAGGAGCGCATGTACACTTAGTTGTCCGTAAATCACATTCATTTTGGGAATATTTCAAATAAAAGTAGAAGCCTTGTTTATTTTTATTTTTAAAACTGCAATAACGGTATCATTAAATATACATACACATATGTTAACTTAAATATAAAGTTTAGATAGTATTTGAAACATATACAGGATTATTTTTTGGTCTGTTTATATATAACATACAGGATTATTTGTCAATCTTAATTTTATATTCAAGTTAAAATATATTTATTTATATACCGTTTTTATGGGCGGCCAGAGATCTCTGTGGATAATAATAATACGCTTACCATTCTACATTATAAACATGCACATAATATGATAATTATAGTTTCCACGGTCAGGGCCATAATCAACCAGGTCATCAACGAACGTTCTCCTAATCCAACAGGACACGGAATGCGAGATCTGCAAGAAGGTATTTAAGAAGCATCTTTACCTCAAGCTTCATTACTGGAACACGCACAGCATCAAATACAAGATATCGCCACGGATGTGAGTATTTTTACCTGACTTTATTAGCTAGCTTTTGCCTAGTAAATTGGGGGGAGGGAAGTAGTTATCGTTTGGTGGTAATATAAGAATATCCACTGCCCCATATCATCCCGTGAGCGTCGTAAGAATGGAGGGAAACGGATCGGGAGATGGGCTATGGGCTAAATAACTGCGGTTGCTAACCCTGGTGCCCAGCGGTGGGACATATACAATATGTAACAAAAACCTGTGCTTCCCGTTAAGTGTGTTATCAGAATCAGTATCCAAGCGTATAGAAATTATTAAAAAAAAAAAAGATATTTAAAAAATTTAATTTTAATAAAAAAAAAATAATTTGCCAATTGTATGTGGCTTTATTTCGTCTAACTCACACGAGTATCGGTAATGTTGGGCTCTTTGACAATCCTCTTACTCCTCGGCCAATGCAGAGACAAAAAAGCGACAGTAGCCTAATGGCAGGGCGCGGACCGCGGACTCAAAAAGGTCGTGGGTTCGAATCCACCATTCGACTACTGGCGTGAACCATTCGTAACGCAAGCAATTTAAGCCTACCACGAGTGGTTAAAGGGGAATATTAGTAATGTTTATAGCATTGTTAATATTAAAAAAAAAAGAAAATGAAAAAGAGATAATAAAACACATACAATTTGCAAATTAATTTTTTTGCATAAAAATTATTTTTTTTAATGTTTTTTTTTTAAATATTTCTATATGCTTGGATACTGATTCTGATCACGCAGTTAACGGGAACCACAGGGTTTTTGTTACATGTTGTATAGCCTGCAAATTTACTCTTTATATATGAGTCCAAAACTATGGAGATGTGAAGATGACGACGACTCTGTTTTGTTATGTGTGTAAACAAATTAAGTTATGCCTTGTGTTGTTGCAGAAAGAGAAAAAAAGGGATTACAGAAGAGATTCAAATAAAAGAGGAATTAGAAAGTGTACCTGAAATAGATTTACTGGAAGTCCACAAGGAAGAGGTTTTTACAGGCAAGATTATTAGACTAATATGATTTACGTATTTATTGATGTCTAATGATTGTATTTTAGTATTGACGCCCAACATATTAGTGGCCAACGTCTGAATGTATTGGCGCCTAATATATTGTCATATTGCCGTGTAGTGGCAGTTGAGAATATCCACTACCCCATATCTTCCCGTGGGTGTCGTAAGAGGCGACAGAGGGAGACAGGCAGGAGATGGGCAGCAGCATTTCCCTGATAACAGCAACTGTGCAACAAAAAAAACTGCGGTTGCCAACCCGCTCGCCAAGCGTGGCAACTATGGCAAATATCCCCCCATGAATAACGACGCAAACAAACGGCCCCCAGTCCCCGGCGGCCCCGCTATTCCTGGCTACGGTGGCGACATGGTAACGGCGGGGCAGGGGGTGCTAAGAATCTTCGGTGGAGGTTCGGTTGCCAACCTACGACGACTCGACCTGGCAACGTATAACGCACGCACCCTGAGGACTGACGAGAAGATACTGGGGAAGAAGAGGTAGACAAGTTGCGCCGGCATATTATTGGATCATCCGAGGTCCGAAGAGAGGGGGAGGACACGGTAATCCTCGAGTTCTGCAACTTGTCACCGGGAGGGCGACCATCTGTCCCAAGGGGTGTCGGATTTATCGTCCACAAGTCTCTCGTCAACAACGTTGTAAAGATTGGGAGTGTGTCGACGAGGGTCGCGTACCTGATACTCAGAATCACCAAACGGTATTCGCTGAAGGTCATACAGGTTTACGCACCAACCTCGGCACATCCCGATGAGGAGGTGGAGGAAATGTATGAGGATATTTTAAGAGCCATGCATTCCTCCAAAACCCACTATACGGTGTTGATGGGAGACTTCAACGCAAAACTAGGCACAAGAGAAAACGGTGAGCTGAAGGTAGGGAAATTTGGAGTAGGGCAACAGAACCGAAGGGGCCAGCAGCTGGCCGACTTTATGGAGAAAGAGGGACTCTTTATGATGAACTCTTTCTTCCAGAAGCGGTCCCACAGGAAGTGGACCTGGTCGAGACCCGACGGTTCGACAAAAAATGAGATTGACTCAAAAATGACATTATGAAGACCAGACGCCAACTGTTCAGTGATGTCTCAGTGATCGCAAGGGTGAAAACTGGCAGCGGTCACCGAATGGTTAGAGGCACACTGAACTTAAACGTTAAGTTGGAGAGGTCTCGTCTAATGAGGTCAACGCTCCGTCCCCCCTCGTGCTCTAATCCAGAATCCCGAAACCTTTCAGCTCGAGTTACGTAACCGCTTTCAGTGCCTAGAAGATTGCAATGCAGTGGACGGTATGAATGACAAGCTCGTGGAAACTGTCCATGCGGTCGGAGCTAAGTTCTGCAAGACCCGCCGCAGAAGAACACAAAAACTCTCCGGTCACACTCTTAATCTCATGACTGTTAGACGGGAGATGAGGCTGCAATCGTCAACAGATTTGACAGCATACAGGCAACTGAACAGTCAGATTTCCAAATGCACGCGGCGAGACTTACGCAACTTTAATACTGCTCGTATTAACGAAGCGATCGAGCGGAACCAGGGCTCCAAAGTCTTTGCCAGAGATCTGTCTGCCAGAAAGAGCCAACTGTCAAAGCTGAAGACTGAGTGTGGCAGCATCGTTTCCGGGACACCTGAGATTTTGAGTGAGATTGAGAGGTTCTATGGGCAGCTGTACACATCATCGTTGGAGCCACACGCAAGTGTGAGTAACGATCCAAGGGCAAGTCTTATCCGACACTATTCCGATGATATCCCGGACGTCAGTCTGAGCGAGATTAGAATGGCTCTCCAACACCGTAAAAGCGGCAGGGCCCCAGGCGAGGATGGAATTACAGCGGAGCTTTTGAAAGCGGGTGGAACACCGGTACTTGAAGTCCTTCAGAAGCTCTTCAATTCCGTCCTCCATGGTGGCAATACTCCGGAGGCGTGGAGCAGAAGTGCGGTGGTCTTGTTCTTTAAGAAAGGCGACAACGCTCTCTTGAAGAACTACAGACCGATTTCCCTTCTGAGCCGCGTCTACGTGCTGTTTTCGAGAGTCGTTATAAATCGTCTCGCACGCAGACTTGACGACTTCCAGACTCCCGAACAAGTCGGTTTCCGAAAAGGCTTCAGTACTATAGACCACATACATACCCTGCGGCAGATTGTACAGAAGACCGAAGAGTACAACTTTGCCTGGCATATGTGGACTATGAGAAAGCCTTTGATTCCGTCGAAATTTGGGTGGTGCTACAGTCCCTTCAGCGGTGCCAAGTTGACTGTCGGTATATCGAAGTGCTGAAGTGTTTGTACAGTAGGGCTACGATGGCTATCCGAGTACAGAATCCGAGTTCGAATCCTATCCAACTGCATAGAGGTGTAAGACAGGGTGACGTTATATCCCCGAAACTCTTCACCGCTGCGTTGGAAGACGTTTTCAAGCTACTGGACTGGAAAGGATACGGAATAAGCATCAATGGCGAGTACATCACTCACCTTCGATTTGCCGACGATATAGTCCTTATGGCAGAATCGCTGGAGGACCTTAGCGCTATGCTCAATGACCTCAATGGTGTCTCCCAAGGGATAGGTCTTAAGACGAACATGGACAATGGAATCATGTTTAATGTCCATGTCACACCTATGCCGGTAGTTGTTGGGAGCACTATGCTCGAAGTTGTTGACGAGTACGTTTACCGGGGACAAATAGTCCGACTAGGTAAGTCCAACTTCGATCGAGAGGTCAATCGACGGATTCAACTCGGCTGGGCAGCGTTCGGGAAATTACGACACATCTTCTCGACAGGTATACCTCAAACTCTGAAAACTGAAGTGTGCGTGTTGCCAGTGATGACTTACGAATCTGCGACGTTGGCCTTCACTGCTGGCCGTATGAGGACGCTCAAGGTCGCTCAGCGAGCTATGGAGAGGGCTATGCTCGGAGTTTCTCTGAGTGATAGACTCAGAAATGAGGATATCCGCAGTAAAACCAGAGTGACCGATATAGCCCAACGGATTAGTAAGCTGAAGTGGCAATGGGCCGGCCATATAGCTCGAAGAACCGATAACCGATGGGGAAGAAAGGTTCTCGAGTGGCAGCCTCGTACCGGTAGGCGTAGTGTAGGGCGACCCGCCACTAGATGGAGTGACGACCTGGTAAGACATGCAGGAAGTCGATGGATGCAGTTGGCTCAGGACCGTCTATAGTGGCATACCTTGGGGGAGGCCTATGTTCAGCAGTGGACTTGTGAAGAGCTGTAATGATGATGATGATGATGATTGGAGCCCAACATCTTGTTATATTGGAACCGAACATCTTGTTGTACTGTAGCACAACATCTTGTTATATTGGCGCCTAATATCTTGTTATATTAGGCCTAAGATCTTGTTATTTTGTAGTCCCAAAATTGATATATTGGTATCCAACATCTGGTCGTATTGGAGCCCAACATCTTGTTATATTGAAGCCCAACATCTTGTTATATTGGAGCCCAACATCTTGTTATATTGGAGCCCAACATCTTGATATATCGAGGCCCAAAATCTTGTTATATTGGAGCCCAACATCTTGATATATTGGCACCTAACATCTTTATATATTTGAGCCCAAAATGTTGTTATATTGCAGCCGCACATCTAGTTATATTGAAGCCCAACATCCTTGTTGCATGTTATATTGGACATGTTGTATTGGAACCCAATGTCTTGTTATATTGTAGCCAAACATCTTGCTATATTGGTACCCAACATCTTGTCATACTGTTCTGTATGTCTGTTCTGTCTGTTTCTGAGAATTTCATTATAAAAATAAAACTGATTGATTGACCCAGTATTCGAACTTTGTGCTACATAAACGGCAATCGTGTTAACGACCATTAGCCCAACGAGCCATTGTTAACTATGATTTACCACTAATCATATTGGCTTCTGAGGTCCTCATTTGCTTTGCATCCAACTTTCACTTTTATTGATTCTTACGTACGTGTATCCATTCGTCATTTAGGTAGATAACAAAACTGACAGAAACGACAGAATAAGGACAAAATGATTAAATTAAACTATAAATACACTCAACACTTTTTTGTACTGTGGACGCCGGCAGTCGGGCCAGAAATCCCAACAAGTTCTGATTCGACGGTTGATCGGCCGTTTTCGTGCGTTATCGGACGATGACGGTCGTGTTGGTGTACGCGCTCTCTTTGTTTTACAAGTGTTTGATTCGATCGTCCAAGTTCGGCCGTCATCGCCCGTGCAAACTTCGGCCGATGACGGATTTGGTGTACCTATGCGAAGCGTAATGGCTTAAGTTACCTTATTGGTGCCATCATTTTAGATATGGAGGAAGAATATTACAACGGTACAGAAGAAACTGAGTACAACGGTACAGAGGAAACTGAGTACTCCAAAAGCGTGCTAAGCGAGGACGTTACACGAGTTCTCGATGAAGGCAAGGGCGAAGAACTCGAGAAACATTCAGAGCAAGTTTTCGACGAGATTATGATACAAAAGATCGTGAAGAACACTCAAGATGAAGGTAAGAAAGGTATGAATACGTAGGAAGTAATTAATTAATTTTATTTATTTATTGGTTTATTCTTTATTACATTCCTTAAAACAAATGAATACAAAGAGCGGATTTAATGCCTTGAGGCATTCTCTACCAGTCAACTCATGGAGTGGTGAGAATTTGACGTAGGTGTAGCAATATAGAATAAAAGAACACAAAACAAATGATAATTAACTACGCAATATTTACATTTTACTAATAAATAAACTATACATATATGTCCTATCCATACATATATACAAATAGATAAATACATGCATAAACATATTAAAAACCATACATAATTACAGTTTGAATGGATGAGTCAGGTAAAATGCGTTGTATTTAATAGATGTTAACGGATCAGCTTTTTAAAAGCGTACAATTTGGGTGCTTTTCTGATGTCATTGAGCAAAGAGTTCCAAAGGCGTGTAGCCTGAACTGTGAAGGAGTTACCGTAGAACTCGGTGAAGGAATAATAATAATAATATATATTTATTTCATTTCCAATTACACATGTTTACATACAGGAATAAATATGATTACAATTATATAAAGTAACAATAAGTCTAACAAAAATAACATACTATGATAAAATTAAAACTATGTGTAGCTTAATAATGTAGAATATACAAAATAAAAATAAAAAAGTCAAGTTTATATTAGCTACCTGCCTGAACTAGGTTGAGTACCTGTGTTTTAGACATCACTTAAACAATGGGTTTAATAATGTAGGACACTAGATATTTAAATAATTAAACTATATTATATAATAAAGGAAGTAATGAATATGACTTTGTAACTATTTCTAAGTCAGCGTTTGATTACTCGACCAGTGTAATGATGGTCTGAAAATATCCACTAGCCCATATCGTCTCGTGGATAACGTAGGAGGTGATAGCGGGAAACCAACTGTGAGGTGGGTCTTCCTAATAACTATTATAAAATAAAAACTGCTGTTGCCAATTTTCCTGCCTAGCATGGCAACTATGCCAAACGTCCCTATGAGCAAATCTTTTTTTATAGGATAGGGTGAGAAACGAGCACACAGTCCACCTGATGGTAAGTGGTTGCTGTGGCTCATAGACATCTACATCTATCCTCGATTACAAATCAAAGTGTAGATGCGTTGTCTCCCGTGAGGACTAAGATGGGATGCCTCGTTTCCAGTAATAAGGGTCTCCGGTTCTCTACACCCACCATACGAAACACAGCAGCATTAAGCTACTATTTCACGCTGGTATTCTGTGAGAGCGTGGTCCTTCCCCGGTCGAACCGACCCATTTGTGCTACAACTATACTACTAATATAACTGCAGCGTGGCTCTCCCACGTCAACAAATCTACGGGGGGGGGGGGGAGGGGTTATGTTCAGCAGTTAACTTTTGATAGGCTGTTCCACCTGTCACCTGATGGTAAGTGGTGGTGCAGCGAAAGGTGGTAAAGTGCAACTTAGCTTAACTACTCGTTGTACGCATGAGGAATGTCAAAGCAAACGGTTGTTCGAAGTCATCAATGAAAGAACGGAGACAGGCCGAGTCTGGTTTTTCATCTCTCACCACCTAATGATTTCTTAAATTTACTCTCACCACCTCTTAATAGTAAGATGGAACGCCCCACAGCGTGTAATAATATTGACTATACGTTTCATGTCGAAACAAGGCAGTGCGAGCGTTGCTATTCGTCAGTAGGAATAGGTAGGAGAGGTGGTACGTACACAGACTGACTCTCAGGCAGATAAGCAATCCTACTTCCTAGTAAAATATTTAAAAAATCAATTAAGAAGTACCGATACTAGTTTGGTTCCAAAATTAATTACCAAAACATTCCAAAAACGTTCCTAAACGTTCCAAAAACGTTCCAAAAACATTCTAAAACGTTCCACAACTTCCTAATTAGTTCTAAAACTAATTTGGGTCACCACGCCGCCGTGAACAGGTTACAAGGGGAATATAACAAGATTTACGAAACATGTGACGTCGTCTTTGCTGATGGGTCTTAAAATTTCAGGAGAAAAAAATTTGGAGGCCTTTGCTGTTAGCTAACATTTGGGCCTTGTTTAATGATGTATTAATAATAACTGAAATTGCTAGAATAATTTTAAGGAACATAGTTTTTGTCCACATTTATACGTGGTAGAGCCACGCTGCAGCTATATTATGGTTGTAGCGCGACTGGGTCGGCTCGACGGGAGAAAGGACCATGCTCTCACAGAATACCAGCCTAAAATAGCAGCTTAATACTGCTTTATTTCGTTTGGTGTGTGTAGAGATCCTTAGACCCTTTTTTACTGGAAATGAGGCATTCCATCTTAGTCCTCAAGGGTGACAACGAATCTGCGTTTTGATTCTTAATCGAGGATAAATTTTGATGTCTATGGGTCACAGCATCCATTTAACCATCAGGTGGACTGTGTGCTCGTTTGTCACCCTTATTCTATAAAAAATGCGTTGCATGCCGTGGCAACCTTTAATTAAGGCGACACTTAGATATAGACTTTCCTTGTCATCAGTCAATTTGAAGATTATATATATATATACATATATATATATATATATATATATATATTATATATATATATATATATATTATCTTCAAATTGACTATATATATATATATGTATATATATATATATATATAATCTTCAAATTGATTGATGACAAGGAAAGTCTATATCTAAGTGTCGCCTTAATTAAAGGTTGCCACGGCATGCAATGCATTTTTTTATAGAATAAGGGTGACAAACGAGCACACAGTCCACCTGATGGTATATATATATATATATATATATATATATATATATATATATATATATATTATACTTCAAATTGATTGATGACAAGGAAAGTCTATATCTAAGTGTCGCCTTAATTAAAGGTTGCCACGGTATGCAATATATATATGTATATATATGTATATATATATATATATATATATATATATATATATATATTGCAATTAAGAATTTTATTCGTGCTAGAAAGTCGAATTGCCCGAAAACAAGCGAGATCGCTCAAGTATTGTGAAATTTATGGTGAGTGCTTAGTCTCTGAGATATGATGGCGTTTTTTAGGAAGTTGTATATTAGATTAAGATGATGTTGTGATGATGTGTGTAAGATGATTAAGAAAGGAATGCTTCGGTGGTTTGGTCATGTGGAAAGAATGAATGAGGTAAGAGTGACAAAGAAAATTTATGTTGCAGGAGTGAATTGCAGAGTCGGAAAGGGACGTCCTAGGCGAAAATTTATCGACCAAACTAGCGATTTATTAAAAACGGGCTAAATTAGGAGTACCCTTAACCGACGAGCATGTATACGTAGGTATATGGACGTGAAGGAGGGGAGAGGGGTGTGTCAGGATCGGGCCAAATGAAAGTCTGTAGTCTCTGCCTACCCATCTGGGTGACAGGCGTGATTGTTTATGTATGTAGTGTTTATGTTGTATATTATCGTTACCGGCTTATATGAACCTCCGCCATAGATTACGTTATAGATATAATTTTTGCCATAGTTGCCATGCTTGAGGATAAGGAGGAAAAGGATAACGCTGTTGCCTATCACCTGGTTAGTTTTACTCCTGTCATCTTTTAAATTAACCACGAGACTATATTACGGAGTAGTGGATATTCTAACACTGTCACCATGCGGTGTTTATTATTGTTATTTATTATACAGTCGAAACTGGTCGGGGAAATATCACTATATACACATATACGTATATACACATGCAACAGAAGTTGCTAATCTTATTTATCACAGGTAAAAATCAAGTCGAAGTAGAAGTAGACGTAGAATCTCAAGAGAAGGCGAAGCGATGCATAGAGAAGCTCGTTATTAAATCTAGGAGGAAAAGGGAGATTGAAGAGTTGGAGAAAACGAGACAGCAATACAATCAAAGGATGAGGGAGGCTATGAATAGAAAGCCCAAAACAGGTATGGTAAACGTGTGATTTTTTATTATAATTATGAAATCACTAGCTGTACGTACATACGTTGTGCTTGTTAGTGTATAGCGCGATGAGTTTTATTCCTAATTAACTCCGTATTTTTTTAGTGTAAACACAATTTATGCAACTTTGTAAAGTGTGGTTTTTTTGTTGACTTTTTTGCTATGGGATTATAGTAGTATCTTTTCAAAACAAAACCGTGTGTTTTAAATAGTTTGAAAAGGTGCCCCGATATTAAAATAAGTTTAATAGAACCCTAAAAGTAAAATGCATTTTTTCCAGAACGCATTACAATAAAATTTGTAAATAATAGAAGAAATGAGGATGTCGCAAATAATGAAATCGCGCAATCTGGTGACAATGATGTCAATGATTCACCAATTACAAATGACAACGACATCATTAATAATATCGATGATGACGAATCATTAAACAACGCTAATGAGTTAACAGATAATAATGATAAAGAAACAGACGATAATCAGAAGGAATCAAACAATAATGATAATGAAACAAATGAGGCGGGAGAGAGTAGAAAAAACAACAAGTTAAAAATCAATACACATCAATGCTACGTTTGTTTTAATGTAAGTAACATATTCAACATATATTTTGAGCCGTGTAGAGGCGGTGTTCGAATATCCACTACCCCATATCGTCCCGTGGGCGTCGTTAGAGGTGATAGAGGGAAACAAACTAGGAGATGGGCAGCGTATTCCTAATAAAAACTAAAAAATTGCTAACCCAAATGGGTAAGCAATTTTTTAGTTAAGCTAAGCGTGCTACTATAGCAAATATTACACACCTGCAGTGGATTTTTTAAGGGCCGTAGTAAAATATATTTGTTAATTATAAGATATTTTTTTTAATAAATTTGTTATTTCTTGTACTGGACGACTTTTTTAGCGTTTGAAATAATACTAATATTTTACAAAAAATAAAAACAATTTTGAATAAATTAAATAAAATCTATCGAAATTCAAATAATATCCATCCTAGCTTATGACCCTGCGAAGTGACATGGTCAAAATGCCTACTAAAATAATTTTTTCATTGCCGTTCGTAAAGGAGGATATGATTTTAAAATCTTTGTTTTTATTTTTTGCAAAATATTAGTGTCAGGTTTCTACTTCGTTCACATGTTACACCTTATTGTTTTCCAGACTGTAAAAATAGTCATCCAATATACAACACGTAACATAATTAACGCACTTTGAGAAAGTAGTTTGTTCAGAATCGTTTACTGAATCATTTTTAATATAGGTAATTTTTTATCCCAAAAATAATTAAAACTACGTAAATTACAGTCACACTAAATCTATACAATCAAAACAAACTGAAATGAACCGTAACTTAAGGCAATAAGACTTTTAAGAGTGCAGTTTTATTTGTGTTATTACTAATTGTGTCATTCAATAAAAATAAAGAAAAATGAACTTTATTTCAAGCACGTTAAAGTCTTTGCGTTCGTGGATTTGTACTGTGACCACAACATTCTTCCGGAATTAATAGTATTACTAATTTGATAAATAATCAGTGCATAAAAATGTTTAACTAAAAATTCAGTGTACGTATTATGATTATAACATAATATAGTTAAGGTCTTATTCGGAACTGGTTGCCAACTCAAGCGTGCTACTATAGTGAATACACCTTGGAGCTATCTATAGAGGAGCCTACATTTAGCAGTAGACTTTTTAGCCACACACTGATTACCATTATAATATATATTATGACTGCCTCGCTGGTATAGTGGTTGTAGTAGTGCGACTGCTGATCGTGAGGTCCTGGGTTCGAATCCCGGGTCGGGCCAAAAAATTAATTATTGAGTTTTTCTGTCCAAAAATTCTCAGTAGCTGCCCGGAGTCAGGAAGTTGGCGGTGTCTCACCCCGGTGCCTCGGAAAGCACGTAAAGCCGTTGGCCCTGCGCCTGAACTCTCTCCGTCGTGTCGGTTTACCGTCCCATCGGATTATGAGAGTGAGGCAATAGAGAGTGCACCTGTGCTTGCACATACACTTGGGCACTATAATCCTGTCCTGCGCCGATGCCTATGTTGAGGCAGGCCGCCGTGGCCGAAATTCGGTCACAGTCACCAGTCACAGTTGGGAGGATACGCCGTCATTGCCACGTACCTTTGACTTTCGACCTTTCTTTCCGTTTCTAGTCTGGGTATTTTTCAACTAACTGCCTCGCTGATATAGCGGCCTTAAACGTCACTACCGAACATGTGGTTCCTGGTTTCAATGTCAAGTTTTTCTGTCAAGAAATTGTCAGTAGCAGCCCGGAGTCAGGTTTCACATAAAGCAGTTGCTCCCGATCTCTCTCCGGTCGTGTCGGATTGCCGTCCCATCAGATTATGAAAGGGAATAAGGAATGTACCTGTTCTTATGAAAACACTCGTGCTCTATAATCCCGTCCTGTGCAGATGGCTAACGTATGTTACTGGCAGCTAAGACCGCAATTCGGCCAGGAGAACATTTAAAATTATTATTTAATTTCGGGAAGATGGAGATTGTTATCACTTTACAGAATTCAAAAGATCTCTTTCGGACATTTAACTCAGTTGCCTCTTACAAAACCCACGAAATGAGATGTAGTGGTGTAATGGTGGATACCTTTGTTTACATCATGGTTAATGTGTTTAAGACGTTCTTCATTATTCAATTAGTTATACGTGGTAGAGCCATGCTGCAGTTATATTAGAAATATAGTTGTAGCACGAATGGGTCGGCTCGACCGGGGAAGGACCACGCTCTCACAGAATACCAGCGTCAAATAGTAGCTTAATGCTGCTATGTTTCGTATGGTGAGTGTAGAGAACCGGAGACCCTTTTTACTGGAAACGAGGCATTCCATCTTACCATCAGGTGGACTGTGTGCTCGTTTGTCACGCTATCCTATAAAAAAAATTCCTTAGCCCATTTAATCTGAATTAATTTTATCTTTTTTCCAGCTGTTCGAAACTAAACCACAATTAATCGAACACTGCAAAGAACATTTTGATGTATGCAACACTGTTATGTTAAAGAAGTGTCCACTCTGTGATTATGTTACAAAACTCAATCTCAGCAGGCACATGAGGTTAGTACATAAAGTGACGATCAAAGTACCATACGGTAGGTTGAAGGACAAGAAGACGAACATCAACGGTTCAAGATATTATTACGATATAGAAGACAGTGTTGTCAACCATGTTGAAGTTATTCCCAGTGTTAAAAATTTGAACAAACGCGAATATGTAAAGATCGACAAGAAGAGCCGAGAAGAGAAGGAAAGAAGCGTCGCGAAGACGAAACTAGTAAAGAAAGGAGGAGAGTGGGTAGTAGAGAAAGAGAAGATTGCTGTTAAGGATGACTTTATATTACCTGAATTTGACGCAAAAGACGTTTTGAAGATTAAAGAGAAAGGGGATGATTATTTGGGCAGAATGAAGAAGCTGAGTCGGCTAGCGAAAGGGAACGGAACGAAAATGTTGTTTCCCTGCGAAAATTGTGAAAAAATCTGCCAGACATTAAGCGCGTTGAAGCTACATTCCCGCAAACATAACCCGAACGCGAAACCCTTCAAGCCGAAGGTCTGGAAACACAAAATGAAGGGCACTGAACCAGTGCAGAAAATCGAAGCACCAGTAAACACAGAAAACCGGTACGCGAATCCCAAACCCATAAAAAACAAACATAAATGCGAACCGGAGTTGAGGGATTTCTATGAGAAAAACATCAAAGGCGGCGACATTGAGTTTTGGCAGTTTCTCAAAATTTATAACAAAATGTCCAGAGAAAATATAACTGACTTTTCGGATTTAAACAAACGCATTGATTTCGGTATACATTACGATGAAACTCCTAAAGAAGTAGAAGAACCCGTTGAAATAAATGTGACAAAGAAAAAAAAGGTTAAGAAACCCCAAAAACCTGGTTTCACGAGAGTAATAAAAATCAGCAAAAAGGAATATTTAAAAAGGAAGGAACTCAAAGATAAGTTAAGAGAAACGCTGTCAAAAGGCATTAACTCATAATGTAAGAGCTGGTGACTTTGTAAATAAGACTTTTATTTCGGGTGTTAGTGCAATTGAGTAATTGTTATTATTTTATTTAAAACACAAATAATGTCTCCGATAGTGTTGAAAATATCCTCGAGAAATTTTTTAGAAAAAAAAAAATGTTTGAAGAAAAGCTATCACTGCCCCATGGCAATAATTTCGTATTTGTGTAGTTGTAAATATTTTAAACTAATTCTTTACGAATTTTATGAAATATCGTTGTGGAAATTGTGTAGGGAGTTGTGTAGACCGCATAGCATATTTGGATTTTTTTTTAAATGGTTGTAACACTTCGAGTCACCAGTTTAATTACCATAGAGTGTAAGTATTTTCATGAAGTAGACCTATGTTCAGCTGTGGGCTTATTATAGAGGTTGTTTAAATGAAAAAGTAATATGCGATTAAAATAGTAATAAGATTGACCTATCGCTATATTGTACCGTCATTGCTGTCAATTCAAATTATTTGGGTGGGGTGAGCAAAACAGATATCTTTGAAATAATATTTATTTATAAATAAATATAAAAGGACCATGTAACTTAACACTCACTTCAATAATTAATATAATTAATACAGCCATTACATTACAGTAGGACGACGCCTTTGATCTCGCGGTAAATGCCGACAACGTCTAAACCATGGAGTATAGAGGTAAGGAGGACAATCTCCCATAGGAGAATAGTTGAAAATTTGTCCATCTGTAAGCAGTAAATAACAGTTCAAAAACTCCACAACAACGCTCGAGTAGCTACAGGGTATGATAAATCGCCGTAAAACATGTTGCGAGTGATTTTGAAAATAAAAATTTTGAAAGCAGTAAAATAATTATTGTAAAAAGAATTATGGTGAAAGTTTGTGCAATAAAATAAATAAAAAAATTATAAAAAGTTCTTTAAAATTTAGATTGTAGCTACAGTGGCGCCACCCTTATTTAACGCTTTCCTACGGACACTTACACAGTCTGTACTCCTTACCTCTACACTCCATAGTCTAAACAGCGCATGGAGGCTATGGTTGTCACAAATTAACAACTTTTGCTAATTTAATTATTAATTTTAGATCTACATCGTCGTCCACAGTATGATTACTAATATAAAGAATAAGTAACAAATTGTTCTTACATATTTCATGAAAGTACTCAAAACGCTTACTGCACGTCTCACAACTTGAACAGCTCTACTCTCTAGGATATATGGTCATACCTCAATTTTGCTACATAATATCGTTCTTATATTCTTAGCTAGACATTAAATCTATATTATTATTACGTTACAATGACTACAGACGTTGAGTTGTAAGACTAGTTTATTTTCAACTAAAAATGTAATTGAAAAATATATGGACTGCCGTCCGTTGGTCTTCTCGCTTAACCTTTTGAGCGCCAAAGTCGCCTATACTTGACCAGCACCTGCGAGCTCTGAGCGCCAACGACGTCTATAGTTCACAAAAAAACCGGCCCACAAAAATATGAAATATAGATATTGGAAAGTAATTACTGGTATTTTAATTCTACACTCCTCAAAAAAGAATAACCCAGCAACATGTGAGTATAAAAAACAATTCTCCTAGAGCCACAAGTACTAAAAAACATTGAACTAAAAAAAATGGATTTTTATCTAAGCAAATACTATGTCCGGCACGCCATAGTCGTTTATGTTTGACCGCTAGTGTTGTAATGCGTTAGGCATAGATTTATTGAAAACTATTCAAAATTAAACTCAAACGTGTTATTTTTTAAATTATTATTGATATTTAAAAAAAACAAAAGGTAAGAAACATAAAACTATCATCAGCTACATAAATAAAAGAAAATTTCATCAAATCAACTTCGCACAATATAAATCTAATATCTCAACTCTGGCGCATCCTTAGCTGGTCATCGATTATCAGTTCATTGGGCGCCGTGGTCAAGGATAGACGACACCCTGATGACGTCATAAACGAATAGCGGAAAAAGTAGTGCAGTGCAATATGAACGATTCCTCAGAACTCATTCGGATTTTGGAAAGCGTCGATGACGATGAATTTTTTATTTTAATAATATAAAATTACAAATAATAAATGTTTATTTTTTTCTTAAGGTATGAAGAGCAATTTTACATTTTGTGTTGTGCGATTTTCTTTCTCAATCTAGGGTATTGACTGAAACCTCTATTACATTTGCTGATGAAATTTCCATTCTTATTCCGCATACAAAAGACCAGAATTTAAATAATAAATTGAATCAAGTATTGAACCAGGTTACAAATTGGCTGACACATCACAACCTAGAGATTAATTTTTATAAAACCGAGTACTACATTATTTTTACCCAAATTAAAGTTATATTTAATTGAAAAATGTTTCTATAATTTAAATGAATATTTTGATACAAATATTATTTAATTTGTGTGGACAACTTTGGCCTGTGCCTATCTAATTTAATTTATTTTTTTTATTCCATTATTATTTTTTACTTAATTTTATTTTTATTTTTAAAATTATTATTATTTTACTTGACATTGTGGTTATTAATTTAATTTAATTTACAGAATTTTAAAATAATATAATGTAATAATGTAATTTATTAATGAAATCTAATATTGTAGTTTAAAAATAATATTTAATATTTTTATTTTATTTTGCTACGCCCAAACTGGGTTCAAATGCGGACAATTTTTTTTAAAAAACATCACATCTATTGTTTAGCATTTGATTGAATTATGGTTATGATTGTCTCAAAATCATCTGGTAGCATCAGCATCATATCAAACCCCCATTATTTATTTATTTATTTATTTAAAAACTTACATGTAACACCTTAAGCTAAAGGGTACATAGGGCGGACTTAATGCCTTGTGGCATTCTCTGCCAGTCAACCCTGGGTTCCAAGGATAATTGTTGGCAGGTGCGACCATTATACGTAAATAAGTGCATATACATTAGAATATACATATATGCAAAGTACATACATACACATTACATTTAAATATACACACATATAGTATAAATAGTATAAAATTTAAGCGACAGTAGCCTATTAGCAGGGCGCGGACCGCGAACTCAAAAAGGTCGTGGTTTCGAATCCGCCATTCGACTACTGGCGTGAACCACTCGTAACAAGGAATTTAAGCTTACCACGAGTGGTTAAGGGGAATATTAGTAATGTTTATAGCATTGTTAATATTCTTTTTTAGAAAAAAAATACGTACAATAATACATACATACATACATATATATATATATATATATATATATATATATATATATATATATATATATATACATGGTTATAAACTTCGTAATTCGTAAATAAATATCCAAATGAATGATATATATAATATAATGTTTGAATAATATATAATGAAATAAATATTTGAAGTAAAAAAGAAGAAAAGAAAGACAACAATTAAGGAAAAATAATGTTAATTAGTAGTTTCCTTCAGGTAATGTTCTCGGAGAAGAACTTTGAAAACTTTTTTATTTGTGGTATTCTTAATATCGTTGGGGAGGGTGTTCCAAAGTTGTATCGCCTGTATCGTAAAAGACCCCATTGTCATAAGAACGTAAGACTTTTCTTCTGTGCTTTACTTGGCCTACGCCTCCCCCGACACATAAAATATTTTGAGTCGATCTCTGTTTGGCGTACAGGACACGGTAGTGCGTTTTTGGCGTGGCGCTCAAAAGGTTAAACAAGATTCCATATATTCTAAGGAGAATCTGAATTGATTTTCGCTATTGAACTCAACACCTTTTAAAAGTTATTTATTTTTTTTCATCAAAATTAATTGAAATGCGCATGAGGCGTGCACTTTTGGATTTTCCAAATATTTACTTCTACTATAACTGTATGGACACCTGGTTTGTTACTAAATACTCGATAAGACAAAAAAAAACTAATATTATAGAGTTTTTTTTAACTAACTATTGTTTAACTAATATTATAGAAAATTTATAGACTTATTAGAGTCACCATCAAAAATATTGTTTATTAGAAGTCATATGCATATATTTCTAAAATTATGTTTGACACGAACTAAAAGCTCATAGCCTCTGGTGGCTGGGTCATGTAGAACGGATGGAAAAAGATCGAAGTGCAAAGAGAGCATATTTCTGACACACAAAAATTACACAAGTACAGAAGCAAAAACGTGAAATAAATTATACTTTAGTTTGTAAAATTGTAAATTGTTTATGTAGGCGTACACAGTCGATAAATGTCGAAGTTTGGTATCAGTATTATGTTCCTAAACTGAACTAAACTTTGTACTTTCAATTAAATTTTTATTTAATTTCAAAGCACTGCCCGCGTTTAGATCACATCTTTGAACGCTAACCAACTGGCCTATTTGCTATCTCTGTTGATGTAAAAATGATATAATTAATAGAATCAGGTGTTACTCTGCGGAAATCCATTATATTAACGATGTAAGAAAATTAAAAATTAGCTAAAATCCGCGTAGTAAAAAAATTATGTATCTTAGCTAGTTAGAAGAGCACCCCCCGCCCTCCCTCAGTTGCGTGCAATATCCCCGTAACCAATGATCCCAACACCGATACACTAGGATACTATTTAGCGGTCGGCCACAGCAGTATACTTCATCTTAGGGTGCCACGTGTAAAAGCGAAATACGTATCGTTTTATCGACGTTGGTGTGTCTTAGTGTAGTAGTGGTATTGGAAGTAGTGGTGCTGTGATTAGTGGTGACGGGGATAGTGCACGCCATAGGTAATATACTATAAAGGAACACTTTTACAAATTATTTAGTGACGAAATAAGGTGCACTGTGTGCTTATTTGTCATCCTTATTCTATAAAAAAATCTTATTGTAAGCCAGTGGTGATGAAACCGTAGATGGTTAATTCTACTGTCTCAGCGTAACAAAAGCCTGCCTGTTAACTTGAAGATGCCCAACTCGTACACAGTCCACCTGATGGTAAGTGCTTGCTTCGGCCCATAGACATCTACATCTATCCTCGATTACGAATCAAAATGC